GGACCATAATTTTGACAACCAACCATCTGCTTCAACTTGGAATCAGAATTTCTGATGGACAGCTTTATGCTTGATCCGCAGACCGAAACCCCTACATGCTAAAACCTCTGTGCCGGTTCAGGCCATAAGCTGAAATCTGAAATTAAGCCCTCAACAAGCTAAAGCCCTTAAACAAAGACTTAGACTGTAGACTGCTAGATACGCACTAGACCGCAAACCCTCAACCCTGCAGAATCCTTGTAAGACTCTTAACGACCAAGTCAAGCCCTCGACGCCAATTGAACCCTATCTAACCTCTCCAACCCCAAACCCGCAGCAGAAACCCTAAAAAAGCGAAACTTTAAAGCCTAGATAAAGAGCAGAAGCCCCCATCTTCGATAACGAGTCCCACACGCCCCCAAAAAACAGGGTTCGGGGATTTGGGATTTAGGGATTTAACTTCAGGCCCAAGGAAATTATGGACTCAAGGGTTTAGGGATTCAGGGGTGTAGGGTTTTGGGGATTTCTGGCCGTCCATACACCCCAGACCCGAAAAACCAAAGATTCAGAGCCGCCTTGTCAGCATCGGTGTTCTTCTTCTTGGAGTCGTCCCACTGGTATTTTCCAGTGACGGTGCCCTGGTCAGGGGTGTCTTCGAAGCGGTGCATCATGTTGCAACACTTCAGGATTTGGAGCTTTAGGGTTTAGGGGTATGGGGGAAAAAGTTAAACAAGTGCGTGTAGATTTGCGGCGGTCTCTGTTGACAATCGCATCGGCTTTGAGAATCGTATGTGCTGTTCGTTGCGCGTTTATGGGGCTGCCGGATGGAGTTCACCTCTGAACCCCAAATTCCTAAACCCTAAACCCTCAACCCTAACCCTCAGCCCTATACCCTAAACCTCCAACCCTAAAGGCTTTGAAGTTCATGGTGGAGATCTCGGCTTCGGGATGCATTAGGGTCTTGCTGGCTTAAAGCCCAGAGTTCAGGATTTGGCATTGAGGGGTATTCTAGGGGCCTTAACAATTAGAATACGGTTTGGGGGTATATTGTACTAAAAATAGAATAATGGACCCTCCCCCCCCCCAAAAAAAAAA